TGGCCGTCATCGACAAGGAGATGGCGGAAAATCGGGCGGAGGCGCTCCAGCTGGAGCTGGAGACGCTGAAGGAGCAGTTGGAGGAGAAGAGCATCGACTACGAGCTGCTCCGCTCGGAGATTGAGGACAAGGGCGCGGAGGGGGCGGCGGGCAGCTTCCAGGTGAAGCAGCTGGAGGAGCAAAATGCCCGGTACAAGGAGGCGCTGCTCAAGTTCCGGGACCTCACCTCGACGGATCGCAGCAATATGGCCCTCCTGCAGAAGGAGCTCGAAGCAAAAGCTGAAGAGGTGGCCGCGCTGCAGGCGCTCAAGGAGAGAAATGGCAAGGAGATTGCCCGCTACGTGGAGACGGTTCAGGAGCTGACGGTGAGGGGGTTCTTTTTGGGGTGGTTTTTGTTGGGATTTTTATTCTAAACTGAGATTTTGATTTTTGTAGGAGCAAGTGGACATGGCCCTCGGCTCGCAGGAGATGGTGGAGAAGCTGACGGAGAAGAACCTGGAGCTGGAGGACCGCGCCGAGGAGCTGCAGAAGGCCCTCGACGAGGAGGAGGGCATCAAGGAGCTGAGCAATATGATCCTCGAGGAGAAGGACGACATCATCGCCGACCTGCGCGAGGAGCTCGACCGCTGCAGGACGCAGCTGGTCAACCTTCGGAACAGCTACGTCGCCGCCCAGGAGGCGGTCAGCGACCACGAGGGGACGATCAAGAAGTTCCGCTCGGTGGTGGCCGCCCTGAGGGAGGAGAACCACCTCCTGCGGGCCAGCCAGGAGCAGGACCTGAGCCGCGTGGCGCAGGCGGTGGACGTGCAGGCGCAGCTGGAGAACATCGAGTTCAAGACGCGCCTCCTGGACCGGAAGGACCTCGGCCGGGCCATCGACATGGAGCTGCGGCAGCTGGACGTGGACCAGTGCTACCGCTACGCCGCCTACCTCGGCCGCTTCTTCCCGGAGTCCTTCTTCGCGCGGGGCGCCGNTACCGGAAGTGGTGGTGGTGGTGATGGCTCAGCGCCAGCAGTGCCCCAGTCGAGCGACTCGGTCGTGCGGGAGGTCTTTCAGGGAAGTCCCACCGAGTCCTCTTCGCCGCCTGGCAAACAGCTCCAACTGGAGTCGCTGGACAAGCTGAAGGGGCACATCTTCACGAAGCACATCCTCTACCTGCTGACCTCGATTCGCTCCCTGCTGGACAAGTACCAGGAGGTGCTCGGCCGCTGCGACGCCGAGCTCTTCATGAAGCTGGGGTCGCTCTTTCCGGAGCTGTCCGCGCACGAGAAGAGCGTCGACCACTACGTGGACCTGCTGCGGGCGGACAAGCTCGATGAGACGGTGACGCTGGACTCGCTGGAGAAGACGCTCAGCTACCTCCAGTCGCTCTACAACATCTACATGGCGCCCTCCACTTCAACTGCTGGTGGTGAAGGTTCTTCAGCGGTGGTAACCACGACCACGACGATCACCGAAAACCACAACAAGTTCCTCCACGACCTCCTCGAGGTCTTCCGCACCGGCACCGAGGCCGCCCTGCTCGACGTGAAGGTCCTCGGCCAGCTGACGGCCGCCGACTCCGCCCGCTTCATCGGCGCCCTCGAGACGGCGCTCAGTGACGTGGAGCAGTTTGCGCGGAAGATTCGCCGGCGGATGGTCAGTGCGGGGGCCGGGGCGGGCGCGGGGGCGACGGCGGCCGACCTCGCCAACCCCGCCTGCGTCGTCCGCTTTCCGGGGGCGGTCGAGGCGGAGCTCTTTGACGCCAG